TTTTAATGATTACATTTTCACAATTTAGATTAGTATATGTAACAACTCATGAAAATCACAAAATCAGTCAAACGTGACCTAAGAAACAATCAAAATTATCTTCACTATAGAAATTTGGTAGGAATTGACCTTTGGGGGAGATATTTAAATATTTGAAATTGAACTACTCAAGGGTAGGTGCTGAATTGTGGTAAGAAGACAGTTGAGATTGGGTACTCGTGATACATTTCAAATATGTCAAACCTTGAGTGATGAGAGTGCAAATTTCCAATAATTGAACAAGGTTTTTTGGTTCCATCACCAAAAGAGGAGTGTTCGAAGATATGTGCCTTGCTTCACTCGTCAGGTCTTGAACTCTTGTAGAAAGCGAGGAAAACTCCCCCTGCATGAGAGGAGGGGAAAAAAAACATTATTCAAGGAATTTATTTTTATTGAACCAAAGCACACAACCGAGGAAATTGCCTCTTACTGTACCTGAAGTCCTTCTATGGCTTCAAGTGAACAGTTGGCCAACCAGATAGCCCACTGCACACACAGCAAGTTCTGTACACTAGAATTGACTGCTCTTTTCTCCATTGATGTCAGAACTGTATGCCAAACATCTGGTGGTGAGGAGGCCATTGGTTCAACACCTGTCATCTGTAAAACTATAGGAACAAAAACGGGTTGCCTTTAAAGTGAATGGATGGCATCATCATCTCAATTGTTTGCCATCATTATTTCCGTTTGCGGTCAATTCACAAGACTGACCTCTGTCCATAGTTTGTGCCAGGAGAATCTCCGCCTCTGACATCTTGGACAAACCGATGGAAAGCAAGCAAACATTGTACACCACACACAACTCCAATTGAGCGTAATCTTCAAGTGGAGGAAGACCTGAAGGAGCATAATGTGACATGAGAAAATTATTATTCCTCTCACTCGACAACACCAAACTCACAACACAAAGATAAACTAACCTTGTATTTTTTGTAAAAGTTTGTGGAAGTCAGATGACAACAACAATATAGTGTGGTTCTGCTCTCGACTTGAAACATCTCTGTTCTGGAGGCCAGATAAATAAAACGTAATTTGGATGACAAGAAACACTGTGGTAAAGTTTTTAAATATATAGTAAGTTCTGGCATTATTAGCATTATTGCCACTGCACTTAGTAAGGTACAGTGCACATGGGAGACCCATTCGGATTTATTTTTATGTCTTTAAAATTATTTTAGTGAAGGGGAAGATTCAAGTAAGTCAACGCTTTCTTCCTTTGACAATGTCAAAATTAATGTATGGAAGGGAAAAAAAAACAATTACCAGTAGAATTAAATGAGAAGCATCCAATTATGGAAACTTTGTCTCTTATTATTTGTACGTATACATCGGTGCAGGGGCGCATTAACCGAGAAGACTTAACATGAAATCAGTCAACTTTACCTTCCATTTGTTGACAAATTCGTTGTTTTCCTCGATCCATCTATCTGATAACTTAGACGGTGATGGTTGCCTTTTAGTGGACATTTACGTGCCGTTTTCAGTGAAAATGGTTCAACTTTCCCTCGATCGTTGTGCAACCGGAAATGTAATGTAAAAGACTCAGCTTCTTCTGCCCCCTTGTGGCTGGCAGTGACAAGGATAGCGGCAATTACATCAGCCTCCGGGAGGATGGCGCCAGAGACGTCCATCCATCCATTTTCTGAACCGCTTCATCCTCACAAGGGTCGCGGGGGGTGCTGGAGCCTATCCCAGCCGTCTTTGGGCAGTAGGCGGGGGACACCCTGAACCGGTTGCCAGCCAATTCCAGGGCACACAGAGACGAACAACCATCCGCGCTCACACTCACACCCGGGGACAATTTGGAGTGTTCTATCAGCTTGCCATGCATGGTTTTTGAATGTGGGAGGAAACCGAAGTACCCGGAGAAAACCCACGCAGGCTCAGGGAAAACATGCAAACTAAACACAGGAAGGCCGGAGCTGGAATCGAACCCGGCCGGAACCTCTGCACTGTGAGGTTAACGTGCTAACCACTGGACCACTGGGTTGTCCCATGCCAGAGACATGTTATTGGAAATTGTCTTTTTATTTTCTTCTTCTTTTTTCAATATTTGGGTCTCTGAACTGTCTGCACACATGTCAAGTAAGAAATTAAATGGCTAAGTCTTTCATGTCATAATGAAAGCCGTTCTGCACTTCCTATAATTTTACTTAATTACCGTATAACACACACATACAAAAACATGCGTGTGCGCGCGCACACACACACACACACACACACACACACACACACACGCGCGCGCACGCACGCACGCACGCACGCACGTTTCTCAGTCAGTGACTTAGGCCAGGCTGGCCGAAGTTCCAGAGCCACTTTAAAGCAGGGGCCGAAGTAGCAGCGTTAACACTGATTTGCATTTGCAATTTTATGATAGGAGGCACAAAGTGTCGTTGCATTTGCCAATCTCATGAGACACACCACTGACAAATGTAATTTGGTGGCTTGGTGATAAAATGCTGCATCCATTAGTGATGGATGGTCAATCAATGTGGATATGGTAAATTTGCCAATGGTGGCTTGCTCAAGCATTCGCTGTCACCCGCTTCTGACACGCAGCAGTATAATAATAATAATATAATAATAATTATTATTATTATGTAATAAAAGCATACCATAAAAATGTGATTTCACCACCGGAGAAATTATTCAACTGTGTTAAGTGTTGCTCTTTATAACACAATGGCACACATGCAGTCAAAACTGGAGTTTTCCATGATTGTGTCTTCCTTTAAAGTAAGAACATCGATGTTTCAACCAACTCCACTGCTATAATCAAATTACAGCTGAGTCATCGTGTAACTGCCATGGCAGCCATTTTTTTCCATCTGTCCCTGTGAAGGTGACTCTTATTTTCTCCCTTATTTCCTGCCGTCTCACCCCTCTGTCCACCCTCTTTCCCTTTCATCCATGCATCACTCTGCATTATGCCTTCAGCGCCTGTCCCCTGTTGTCTGCAACCTCCCTTGAGTGTTTGGATAGCTCACTGCCCTCCTATTCCTCTTTCCTATCATTGTCTCCAATCAAAGTGCTCAAAATAACACCGCTGTGAAGCTCATGACACATGCACACAGAGAAAATAATAACCGTGCATTGTCACTGAATGGTGTTAGTGTGTTTACAGTAAATCATTTTATCTCCAGTGATTCTCACTGTGTTGCGTTCCTTTATCTTGGGCTATTTGTATTTTAAATATGCAATATTTGTTTGTTGCATTATATGCGTTCTCAATTCATTATTTTTTTATCACACAGAAGAGATTTAAAAACATACAACTTTTTGGGTCATATAAGCAGATTCTTATGCCTAGCATAAATAGATGTAGTGTTATTGTAGACAGCAAAGCAATCTGAAACAGTTTTTCCCCATGAAAATGACACAAAACAGTGTGCTTCACAGGGGCACTCAAGGACGGGATGCAGACCTGGCTGACATTGTTGTGACAGCACTGGGACCAAGAATGGCTGATGCAGAGAATTATCCTGTATGTGCTGATCCACTTAACCTTCAACAATATCAAACAATGTTGCTTTCTGATTTACAGAATTAAGTCACAGGCATAACCTCTTGTCACAGCAAATGAGCAGAGGCAGCTTATTTTCCAGTGTGAATGCTCATCCGGTATCATCACAATTTACTGCACATAATGATGGCCGTACTATTTGCTATACGCAGCCAGCAACTCATTTGGAACATTACACTAACCAATGATTGGAATAATGATAAATACTGTGTCAGGGATGTAAGGATGCCTAAGGCCAGAAACAAAACAATGGAATAGTTTTATATGTGTTTGTGAGCATGGGGCCAAGACTCCCTATGGGACTGGTGTGAATCTGCAAACTCACACTGCAGCATCAGAGCTTTAAGCATCAGCAGAATGCACAGTCGTGCTATGTCTTCAACAATTCATTCTGCAGTGTTTTTAGTACAGTATAGGAATAATAAATTTCTTATAATGTTTACCAAAAACTATCTTCGAATAACAGCATTGTTGATTACCAAAAATAATTGTACTATTTTTGTATTGATTAATACACCAGTACAGTATATAGAAGCTCCTTAATGTATTATCTTTAAAACGCATCATTATTTAAAAAAACAAAGCACCTTATTATTCGTGAAATTGAAAGACTGCGTTCAATCACTTCCTGGTGCTGCATGGTCTGTTCTCAATTTTATGACTGGTGAGAAAAAATATTATTGAAGTAAAGTACATGGAAAATGGATGACTAATAATTGTCTTGTGAATGAATAATTACGTTCGTCCTTCAGTTTTATTTTTCACACATAAAATTGTTTTACCATAGGCTTGACAGAAAGTGGTACATGGCCTCTCCCTCGTGGTATGTGATAGAATGCTGTTCCAAGTACGGATTGTTTGGGATTAACTTTTAAGTTAAAGACATTTACATTTAATATTTAAGAACTGTTGTTTTGAAACATTTATTTTGATACATTTTTCATTGAATCATCAGATGTTTACGACTTGTTTTTTTTTTCCTTACATGAAAGCACAGTGTTTGTGTTCAAACAGTGCAAAATGTGACAGTACTTTCAATAAAATCAAACATACTTTTATGAAATAAAACCTCTGTCTTTTTTTTTTTTTTTTAACTACGAACAACTGTGTTGGGTCGTCGACCTCACAGTGCAGAGGTACCGGGTTCAATCCCAGCTCCGGCCACCCTGTGTGGAGTTTGCATGTTCTCCCCGGGCCTGCGTGGGTTTTCTCTGGGTACTCCGGTTTCCTCCCACATTCCAAAAACATGCATGGCAGGCTGATTGAACACTCCAAATTGTCCCTAGGTGTGAGTGCGAGCGCGGATGGTTGTTCGTCTCTGTGTGCCCTGCGATTGGCTGGCAACCGGTTCAGGGTGTCCCCGCCGACTGCCCGAAGACAGCTGGGATAGGCTCCAGCATCCCTCCGCGACCCTTGTGAGGATAAAGCAGATCGGAAAATGAATGAATGAATGTATGAACTGTGTTGGTTTGGAGATCTAACTTTTTAAAGTTGTACTTGGTGTAAAAGCTCTGAGAACAACTGAATCAGGGTAAATAAATACAAATGGAGGCATGGTTCCAGAAGAAAAAGGTGTCCCTTTAAAGAGTTGGGGTGCTAACTCGTGACTTCCCCTCCCCTCATATATAAATGCGGGCGCTCTCCCCCTCTTGCTGCAGTCCCCACCATGAGTTCCACCGTTGAGAGCCACTTCTTCGGGCCGAGCGGGCTCCGTAAACCTCGGCCAGCCTCGGTGTCCTCCATCGGCTTCCACTCCCAGCGCCGCCGCCTCACCTACAGCAACCAACCGTCCTCCGGGGACAGTGTGGACACCTTCAACGGGGACATGTCCCGCAAGAGCGAAAAGGAGATCCTGCAGGCGCTCAACGACCGCTTCGCCGGCTATATCGACAAGGTGCGCAGCTTGGAGATGCACAACCGCAACCTGGAGGAGGAAGCGGCAGCCCTGCGGCAGTGTCAGAGCGGTCGCACCTCGGTGGGGGAGAACTACGAGCGGGAGCTGAACGACCTTCGGGGGCTCATGCGGCAGCTGAGCAGGGAGAAAGGTCGCACGGCCGTGGAGTACCAACGCCTGGAGGAGGACATCCAGCAGGTCCGGGCCCGTCTGGAAGAGGAGGCGCGCAGCCGGGAGGAGCTGGACGCGGCCGCGCGGGCTATGAAGAAGTACGTGGACGAGTGCCAGCTGGCCAGAATGGAGCTGGACAGGAAGCTCTGCGCCCTGGACGACGAAGCCGCGTTCCTCAAGAAGAACCACGAAGAAGAAATGGCCGAGTTCCTCGCTCAGATTCACGGCGCGGAGGTGTTTCAGGCCGTTTGAATATCAATTCGCTATACTGTACTTCCAGTGCGCTCTTTGTTCTCACTAGTCAGGCAATTAGCGCACTAGCTGAGTAACTACGGTGCAGGAGTTCAACTACTGTCTTAGGAGTGACATTCTGACGCGCGAGAACGACAAGGGCGCACAGTATAATTTTCTACCAGAGCCTTACTGAATAACATTTCCCTGCACTGGTTGAACAGCTAGGGCGCACTTAAATGTTTTAGTGATGGGTTTTTATTTTCAACACGTATTGTCTAATTCTACTACTGTGGGGTATTTCTGGCCGTTAGTAGAACGATTAACAGTACTACAGGACGTGTTTTCAATCCCGCTTTCCACAGCTGTATGACATTTCTGCACACTAGTAAAATGACTCCAGTACACCAGTAGAACGACTGTTTAAGTTACTAAAGTGATGTTTTTCCCCTCTACTGCTTTCCACTACAGTATGGACACTAGTAGAACTGGGGTGCACTAGTAGAATCACTAAGTCTCATCAGTAGTGATTACGGCATTTTGTTTTTGCACACTAATTGAACACTTAGGACGAACAGGTTCACCAATCTTCATAATACTGATACTTTTCTCAAATTTCTTTCTGACATTTCGGTGCACTTGTAGAACAACTGTCTATCAGTGATGTTTTTCTCAATATTGCCTTCCACTATACATGACATTTCTATACAATAGGATGACAAACTTACACTGGTAGACTTACTAGAGCGCATTACTAAAATAATTGTCTTATGAGTGATGTTTGTTTTTTTCTGCTCTTGTGAACCCAAGTTAGGGCAAAACCTTGCACCAGTAAACAACTTACATGCTGCTTGTACTAGTGAGGTGATGATGTGCTTCACTAGTAGTAACATAGATGCAAATGTTAACTAGAGGATTCTTTTTTCAAGAGTAGGCCTTGGTTCTTCTATTAGTGCGCTGAATTGCCTTACTAGTGAGTACAAAGAGTACACTGGTACCTGGTACACTAACGATTCTGTGCACACATAGTGTTTAAATACAAATGCTCTTACAGCTTTCCATATTTCTATATTTAGGTGACTTTTGACCTGCGTGACTCGCCCAAAGTGGACGTGACTGGAGCCTTACGGGAGATCCGTGCACAGCTCGACCGCCACGCGACCAACAATGCCACACAAGCTGAGGACTGGTTCAAAGGTAAGGCTGGTCCATGGGGAGTAAAAGTTCCCCCCAAATATTTCAAGTGATCACAGTGTAACAGGGATAACAGTGCAGTACTGAGCTGTCAAACTCATTTTCATCACGGGTTACAGCAGTACGTTTCATTAATCTATTCAATATTTTGCTAACAACAAATATAAAATCAGAAGACACCCTGAAGTAGTTGCCAGACAATCGCAGGGCACACATAGATGAACAATGATTCACAGTCACAATCGCACCGAGGGACAATTTTGAGAGTTCAATTCACATACCGTGCATGTTTTTGGAATGTGGGAGGAAACCAGCGGACATGGGGAGTCATGGGTTAAGTCGTGTGGAAAAAAGTGTTCTGCTGATCTGTCCTGTTGAACACAGTTGGCAGTATGACCTTGTCTACTGTATGTGATGTCATGCTGACTGCAGCAGTGAGGCTCATTCCCGCTTACAAGAGGGGAGCTGGATAGGATGCTTGGTCAGACACATGCTGTACATTAAGTAGGAAAATGTGTGTATAGTGTCGGATTTGGTATGGATCATGACACAACCAAACCTCGGTTTGTATAGTGCGCTTGGAGCGTTTGACAGATGCGGCCAGGTCCAACCAAGATGCCATTCGAGGGACACAAGAGGAGATCGTGGAATACCGTCGTCAGCTGCAGAGTCGCACCATCGAGCTGGAGACTCTCAGAGGAACCAAGGAGTCCTTGGAGAGGCAGCGTACGGAGAGCGAGGACAGACACCAGGATGACCTTGACTCACTTCAGGCAGGACAATCACAAACTCAGACACCCCAATTAAAGACACTGAAATCTGTTTGTCTTACCATGTGTTCATTCTTCAGGACACCATCAGTCATCTGGACTCTGAGCTGAAAAATACAAAATGGGAAATGGCCAGCCAGCTAAAGGACTATCAGGACCTTCTGAATGTGAAGATGGCCCTAGATATTGAAATAGCGGCTTACAGGTTGGTGCCCTGTTATAATCATGCATGTCGATCATTCTACTTTTCATGAGAATCACAGCTTTCATGTTGTCGCCAAAAACAGGAAGCTGCTGGAGGGTGAAGAGAGTCGTCTTGTGCCAGGAAGTCCCTACTCCTATTTTGATAGTAGAATTTCAGCGCATCTAAAAGTCAAAGAAGATAAAGTGATTGTTCAAGAGCAGACAGATGAGACCCAGGTCACAGAGGTGACAGAGGAGGCGGAAGAGGAGGAAGAAGGTGAAGAGAATAAAGAAGAGGAGGAATGCAAAACAGAGGAAGGAAACAAAGGAGAGGAAAAGGAGAAGGAGAAAAGAGAGGAAGTAGGTGAGCAAGAAGAGATTCCCAAATCACCAGAGGAAGTCGCAAATTCTCCTCAGCCAAAATCTCCTCCCAAATCACCAGAAAAAGTCCAGAATACTCCCCAGCCTAAATCTGGCCCCAAATCACCCGAGTCCAAATCACCACCAGCCAAATCTCCCATGGCCAAATCCCCTGCAAAGTCACCCAAATCCAAATCTCCTCCAAACAAATCCCCACGGTCTAAATCTCCCCCTCCCAAGACACCTGAACCCCCGGAGAAGGAGAAGGTCAAGCCCGCACCTGCTTCCAAAGATGACACGAAAGGGGAGAAAAAAGACAAGCCTGAGTCTGTCAAAGATGAAAAGAGCGATCCATCCGTTCAAGAGGAAAAGGTCGAACAACCAGTAAAGGAGAAGGAGAACAAGGAGAAAGAAGCAGAGAATAAAAAGGAGAAGGATGACAAACCTGACGTAAAAAAAGACAGTCAAACAACTGAGGTGCCAAAGAAGGAAGAAACTCCAAAACCTGCAAAGGCTGCAGAGAACAAAGCTCCGGCCTCCAAACCAAAAGAGGAGGCTCCTCCCTCGGTTGAGGAGAAGCCCTCGGCTCCTAAACTGGCAAAGACAGAGCCAGATAAGAAGCAGGAGGAGAAACCTACCCCTAAAGTTGAATCTGAGAAACCAGAAGAGAAAAAGGAGACCAGTCAAGGAGCTGCCGACGAAGGGAAGACGAAAAAAGTGGCAAAAGCTCCTGGCACCGAGTCCAAAGACAGTACGGAGAAGGCCAAAAATTGAAGAAGAGTGGACTAAAAATAAACTTTACGGGTGAGATCAGGAAGGACGCTCAAGCATAACTAAGCAATCTTTATTTTTATTGACCTACTTACTATATACGCACCATTCATGCTATTATGTCTGTTGGCAACGCTGTTTATTAAGCTCCTTCAGTGAATGTGACAGCTGCCTTTCAATATTAAGTGCATTTATACTGTACCTGCACTAGCCCTCAAGGAGAGATGCCAAGCTGAACATAATGGTCCCAAATAATATATTGAAATATACTGCATACAACTATCTATATTATATTTGCTATGTTAGAAAGATTAGTCAGACAGACTTGGCTGCTTGTGCACTTTAATGTTTCTCTTCACAGGTGAGACGTCTCTCTCTCTCCTCTGGCCTGACTGTGATATGTACGAACCTGCTAAATATGCAACACAAAACAAAAATAAAGAATAACAAGAAAATTGTGTGGCTTAAGTCGGCAGGGGAAGCCATCACGCGGGAAGCTGAGATGAAGATTCGCGAAACGAAATGTTGAGGCTGAAAGGTAAAATGCAGCAAGACTTGCCTGCATTGCAGTGGAAGGAGGAGGGGTGGAGACACTGCACCCGTCCCCCCCTGTCCCGCAAGCCTTGCTCATTTATAAATGAGGTGCAGTGCAGCATAACGCCACAAGTAAATTTCCTATTTAGTCACATATTTCCATCACGTCATTAGTGATACACGACATTTATGTGCCCCCCCTCCCCTTTTATCTTTTTATACTAATTAGCCATTAACAGAATAAGAGTTTTGGTGTGCAAGTTAATACTACATTTCCAGATGATAACCTTAAAAAAACAAGACACATCAAGAGTTAGGATTACAGGCTAAACTATGGCTAAACTTTTGGTACTGGAGAGTAGCTGACATTGAAAACCATGTGGCATTCTGCTTTCCACACCATCCAATCTATTTATTGGATATCAAGTGTGCCCAAGTGACACAATGATAAAACAAAGTTAAAGTGTGTTTGATTGAATTGTCCTGGCTAACCTTATGCAATCAATGAACACGGTGCCAGTGTAAATAGAGCAGCGATGGGGTGTAGAGGGAATGGAACATTTGGCCGATTTAGAAATCACAGCCCGGACACATTCTTTTTTTTCAAGAAAATAAGGTATGAGTTTATTTTCAAACATTTCTTTTTTTTTGTTTGTCTTTTTATGTCTACTCTTGTCTAAAATGCTTCAAATAGCTGTGATGAATTAAAATTTGACAGAGGAATCGCAAGTCAACTTTTAGCGATGACTGAAGAGGCCCAGAGGATGGTTGTATTTGAATGGCTTCAGACGATTTGGACCCCTGGAAGAAGGGAAAAAAAAGAAGAAAAAAAAAAGACCACAAGTCAGATATAAGTGGACGTCAAAGATTGGGACATTTTATTCTTTTAAGTACACACTTGACAGTACGCAGACACATCTTTTCACGGGGGAACTCCCGTGGTCCTTCCACGCCATCATCCTGTTCTTCAGTCTCCAGGTAGACATCCAGACAGACACACAGGCGTGAAATCTGATTGGTCAGGAGCTGGTAGCCTGGACGTGGCCCCTGCAGTTCATTTTTGAACACGTTCACCTCACTCTCCATGGCCTAGACCCAAGAGACATGAGTCAGCTTGTTTTTTTTTTTTTTGTGTGGCGGACATTCAAATTAATTATAAAATGCTTTTACCCGAAGGTTGTCATCAGTGTGCCCGCTGCGCTCTCCCTTCCAGTTGAGAGAGAGAGAGAAGAGAGGAGAGATTTCTGGGTAACGCGGATTCAGCACGACTGCAGCCTGGAGGCGAGCTACAAAAATAAATATCATTGGGGTTGTTAAATGAATATAAAGAAAAAAACCCCCCAGGAATTAAACAATTGAAATGATGCTTACCTGTGCCTCTCTCAACAACTCCAGAGAAGTACATATCAGTCTCTTTTGCCAGACCAGCATCAGTCACATGACGTGTGAATGTCAAATTCTAGCAGGGAAGAGATTATAGGGTCTTTTAAAAAGATATGAATTTATGGGCCTGGCTTTGTGCAGTGGAACTTCGGATTGCAATAAAAGGCCTTCCCAAAACTATTCCCTTCAAGCTTGGTGCATAAAATTATCTAATTTATCTTGGCAAGATCATAAAAGCATCAAGTTATGTGGGACACTGTATACAGTATGTAACTCCAAAGTTCCAAAACCGATTCAATGAGATTCATTCGATGTATGTGTCCATATGGTGCAGTTCTAATCTTGAGTGCATACCATATACTCCTCTTGAGTGATGGTGGTCCATTGAGTTAACCGAGAAAGAATCTTGGCTGGAAAGAGGTACAAACACTCACTGGTAACGGGGATGATGTTGTGCTCTGTGGAGAGAACAACCTCAGTCACAAGTGAACATCTCTTCAATTAAGACCACTTAATGTACATGGTCGATGGTAACTTTACTTTACCTAAAGAGGCAAACTGCTTATGGAGAGCCAAGCGGGACATGACACGCCCCCTCAGGAGCTTCATGGTGTTTTCCATGTGGCTAGCACTCAAAGAACTGCCCACAAGCACCCCCTGGAGAAACATGTAGCATCAAGACATGAAACATAATCAACCGCTAGGACAATGATCAAGTTACTTTTTAAGTATTACTTCCTAATGGTTGAGAACGAAAGGAAGGTTTTATTGCACAATTGTTGTGCAATGTAAATAAATAAAAATGTTTATTTTACTGATTGAATCTGTCACTGTCACACCACCCCTTGCCGGACAATGATCAAGTTACTTTTTAAGTATTACTTCCCAATGGTTGGGGAAAAAAATAATGTTTTATTGCACAATTGTTGTACAATGTAAATAAATAAAAATATGTTTATTTGACTGATTGAATCTGTCAGTGTCACACTACCCCTTGCCTGGCTGCAGACCACACATGCAGGTTTACAGGAGAGATGTGTGACTGATGGCAGTAATAATGCTTTGCTACATGCAACCAGTACAATATTACAAACGTCAAATGCAGGCAGTACCGTATTGTGTACACGCACCTCTGAGGTATCACTGGGAAAATTTAATCCTCCAAGATTCTGAACCCACTTGTAGGGATGACCCAGCTCCTCCACATAGTCGGCAAAAGAACCTATCCTGTGGACGTGACATGACAATTGTTAACTGAAAGGAACTGAAATGTTTACTACACATCTGGTGAGAAGTGCCATGGCCTCCTTACCCAACTTTATCAAATTGATATCGGTTGGCTGGATTGGGTGTTTCTGTTCCATGATCGTTGGAATACAGACAGCTGAGAAGTGTCTCCGATTTGACCAGCTCCCTATAAATGGAGTGAACATTTTATCAGCAGCGGAAAGATGAAGACTTAAGTTTATCTGCACACTTGCACATACCCTGCACTGATCGCTGTGGTGAGGTCCGTGGATGCGGAAATCTTAGCTTTGACTGTCATGATGTTTAGATTGATCAGGTAGTAGAAGTAGAGACTGAGTACGCTGCCATCTGCAAAGACAAACTGATAATTAGTGGATGATAAAATCACCCTGGCACTGGGATTATCCACTGTCTTGTCCCACTAGGACCAATTAGTGCATCAGAGTTCCAAACAGGATGTGGTTGTGGTGGCACACAATTGAGACATGGAGGTCATCCTCCGTGATAAATCAGATGAGCTGTGAAGCTGGGAGAAGACAGCTGGTCAGAGTAAATGTGCGAGTGTGCTCAGCAGAGTTGGGCAAAGAGCACTCAGTAGAAAATAAAATGCTGCAGAAGCACCAAGGTGAGTGCGCGTCTCTTCATTTCTCTCCTCCCCTTTAGGTTAAGTAAAGCCTGCAATGCAGCTCTCTCTGTCTTCTTTCAGTCACAAACAGAAGGGCCACAAGATTCAAGAAGTGTGATCACTAAGCACAACAATCAATTCTCACTCACACACATACTTTAGCAAGAAAGTAAACTTGTGATTTCAGACACCGTACAGCCACGGGGAGTCTGTTTGTCCTCATTGAATGTGCAGGTACTTTTTCATGTTGAATTGGCACTTCAAGCCATCAAGAGGGGGAAATTAGTTTACCTTTACACGTCAAGTCAAAAGAGAGGGACAGCGGGTGCCTCTTGAGCATCTCTCGTCTTTTGTCATCCAGCTGGCCGCCGGCAGTTGACCGTCTCCTTTTCTGTAAAGTGCGGTACAGAACACAGAACATCTACTTAAACTGTAACTGATGACATGAAAGCTTCACAGGTATTTCATTTACAAAGAAGCTGGCACTCATTTTGCTACAGGAAGTGGTCAATATTCCTTCTCCGTCACCCATCTGCCCTCAGCGTGACAGTTAGAGCTCAAGGGACACTTAGTCTGATAGTGGCAGAGACGAGCATCTGAAAGACTGGCTGACCTAACCAACCGGTGTGTGTGTGTGTGTGTGTGTTTTGGATGAGCCGAGACTCACCGTTTTTTCCTGCTCCTCCTCTGCATCCGAGTCACTGTCATCATCTGCATGACATAGAACGTGAGCATCGGTATAACAGCAGTACTGCCTCTGCTTTCTTGTATTGTTTGTTTGTATCTGGTACACGATGACAAGCCTATGTATTGATTCACGGCCTTACCTTGAGAATCCTCTGGAGGTTTGGACATAGCCTTGGCCTCATCCACATCCCCACTGATTGACACGGTCAGTTTCTTGTCTGAATGAAAACATAAAATCACTCAGAATAGGACTTTGCACTTCAGACTCCAAGTATAGGCACAAATAAAAAAGGGTGGGCTGTGTCTGAGAATCTTCCTTACCGCATGCTTGGCCATAAGCATTGGCTTGAACAAAAAGGACATAGAGGGGCGGTGGCAGGTGCTGAGCGATCTCGGTGTGTTTCTGGGTCTGTTCAACAGGCACGGCAAGGTACTCTTGCACTGGCAGCGAGGCCTTTGCAAACGAGAGGGGGCAGAAATCACAATGACATTCTAGGAATACAAAAAAAAAATGCAGGTGCGGAACTGGGAAGTTAAGGGTTCAGATCTCACTTACCGCAAGACTATTAGGACTTATAATAGTTATTAGCAGCATGTTATACCTGCATGATCGCATTCAGGCCGGGTTGCAAGCTTCTCAGGTGTTCCTTCTTGATCTCAATACTCTTCTGGATCTTCTCTTTGCTGGCCTGAGACTCTTTGTAAGTCTCTGCCAACCTGCATAAATCATTGAGTATGTCTTCAGAACGCTGTGCAGAATTTTCAGGGCATTGTGCTTCAACTGAGCAGTGACGGACAAAAGTTTGAACACCTTTTCCTCTGTTCAAGCTCCCAGTCTAACCGTGCCAGGGTGAGCTGGTGAGGATCATTTTTGGTGAGTTGTGGCCTGGAAATCTCCTGCGGTGCATCCTTGTAAAACTCTTCTTCGCTCACGAGGTCTATTTCCTCATGCTTTGACCTGAGACAACAACAAAAACGTTAATTATAAGTCACATTTCTCAAGACATGAACTATCAAGATATAATCCAACAAGTGCAAGTAAGAATAACACCTGAATTGACTATACTTTACACTGAAATGCATTTCGTGCTTACTTGAACTCTAAACATTTACTGATTTCCTTCTGAAGATGCAGAACTTCATACAGAAGGTTCTGCAACTGAAGGTGCAGCACATCCACTTTCTGCTTTGCCTGTTGAACAAAAGCAACACCTTGACATTTATGTTCACCAACACACTGCATAGCTCTGATCGGCTACAATACAGTATGTGAATCAAGTGTCACATTGATACCTCATGGGTCTGGTCTCTGCCTCTTTTGAGCCGCATGTGAGCCAAACGGTTGAGTTTTTTCAGAGTCATAAAGTGGTTGCAGCTCTGCAAGCGTTTCTGCTCAACCTCAGCACACTGCAAGAAATATTGCCAGTGAGTTAGTTGCCTTTGCAGGGTAAAAAAACAACAACAACAGCACAGTACTCAACATAAATGAATACACACCAATAGATTTGTTTGAAAATCTTGAGTTTACTTTCAGATCATTATTTTCTACTATACGACAAAATATACCCACAGATGTGGACCATTAATTCCAAACTAGATATCCCAAACTTATTTTTGTCAGGAGAAACATTGTAGTTAATTCGGAAGCCAGTAAATAATTGTTTGTTCAACTATTTTTCAATTTATTTTAAAGGAGCGATTGTTAACAACAAATGCTGACAATATCTCATATTTCAGTATTGTTATAAGTGAAGACAAAACGCAAGAAACATGAAGTCGACGCACATGATTTGCCATCACGGGTCACATAAAATGATGTCGCTGGCCTTGAGTTTGACTTGAGTGGTTCATGCTGCTGACCACTAAAAATGGATGGCTGTAATTTCAACACCCTAAATTAAAATCATGCAAACGTTTTTTTGGCCCTCCCGGCTGAAAGAACCAAAGTTGAGAATCGTTTGGAAACTGAATGAGCAATCGAAAGCGGAACTGGAATCGCTCAAATTCATATAATGCCAAATCCAAGTCACAAACTGGTACAAGTTAAAAGAAAAAAAAAGTGTAACTGTATTAACGAGGTACATGTGAATCCTATAGCCGTCAAAGCACAATTAACTGATGAAGTGAATGAATGTATATCTCACCCCCTCTTTTGCCCCACTGGCTTTGAGCTTCTGTATTTCACCCATCAAAGTGGCCAACCCTTCGCATGACTCTTTAAACTGGAGGAAGTCCTCCTCATGGTCCCGGCCATCAAGTTCCACCTCCTCATTGTAGACACGTATGTCCTAGAAACATATATAGAAATACATAGGAGAGTAGCGCAATTGAACAGAGGATAATAAAGCTATAGTCCTGAAAATGCAAATCATGAACTTATTTGAACATTCTACAAATATATCTTTCAGCAGTTAATAAATAAATAAACATTAAATAAACGACTGCTTTCTTTTCCATTTGCAAAATGTACACAGGACTGCTGTTTTTATATTATTTACTGTGATTAAGAATAAAACTTGTGAATAATAACTGTGATAATTTCGCTCACTGCGACCATGATATGAAACTTCCTTAACACTTTATCAGAGTAATCTGGTTTTAGCAAAAATAAGATGTTTTGGGGTGTGTCTGTAGACGGAATTGTGCTGACTTGCCGTTAAGAGGAAAGTAGGACAAAAAAAATCTATCAATGACATGAGTGAAAGATAAAGTACTAAATAACTACTTGACATCCCCTTTAGTTGGAGCAAAAAAAGTATGCGTATGTGAGTAATCTGGTTTTAGCAAAAATAAGATGTTTTGGGGTGTGTCTGTAGACGGAATTGTGCTGACTTGCCGTTAAGAGGAAAGTAGGACAAAAAAAATCTATCAATGACATGAGTGAAAGATAAAGTACTAAGTAACTACTTGACATCCCATTTAGTTGGAGCAAAAAAAAGTATGCGTATGCTAAGCATTACACTTCTTTACCATTTAACTATGAAAAATAGATGTAATAGTATACAGTATTTGGTTTAGTTTTGCGCCCCCAGCCAAATATGTAATTGTGTAAATACGTGAGCGGCTAATCCACGCCCAGTGCTTTGAGACCCCCGTAACCTCGTTCTCCTCACCAAGTTTACGATCCATTGTTAAACACCAAGCTTCCCAAATAATAACAACATTATGTTTGATAAGATTCCAGTACTTAGAAAGAAACGCAAATTGAAATACTTTGCAAAAAGTTTTTGAGTTGGTTTCTGTTACCTGCTGGTCTCCGTCCCCTCTGCCTCGTTTCACCTCCGTAGGTCCTGCTTCGTTGCGAAGAACCTTCGCCTTTCGCTTCTTCAGTGCTTCCGAAGACATTTTTAAGATGGAAAGCGCCGGCTAATTTACGATTGGAGAGGTGAGGAGAGACAATAACATTTAGTACTGTACCATGCACATTGATGAGCCACAATTTTTTTATGCTAACAATGCAGCGACCGCTAAGCTAGTTAGCTAGCACACTTTTCAGATATCGTTTCACGATATAAATAAACAAACCATCGATATATGCACCGACACAGTTAAGACTTCATACACACCTACGCACCTTTATGATGAGCAAAGAATGTAAAGGCGAAATTCACAATAAATGTTGCCGAATATCGAGAGTGCGCGCGCAGGGTGCAGACCGGAAGAGTATGCAGACGGAAGTTTTTCGGTGCCAAAGGTTCGCAAAATCGAAGAGATCTGTCCACCACTGCCACCTGCAGGAACGTTATTCGCAGTCAACAACAGACAACTCCACCTACCCCGCTGCATTGCGTTGTTAATTGTGGTTGAGGGGCTGGGCGTGACATCTTTTGGTGGGGAACTGAGGGGGCCTTTTTGTGCTTGCAGGAAGCAAACGGTGCTGTCGTGGAGGAACAGGTTTCAGCTCAGTGGAAGGCAGGGATCCACTCAGCAGGAGGTCACATCACAAAGTTACGTCAGGTATTGGGTTTGTGTGAAAACAAAGCAAGATCAGTAAAAAAGTCAAGCTACTAGTGTGAACTTGGTGGCAGGCAGGCTATTCTTGGCAATACATGTGATTCTTATGATTTAAAAACAAATACCATCGCTTTTCATTTGTGTCAATTGTTATAATGATCACTTTACTTGGAGTATCCAAAAAACAAAGGGCTGTCCAGTCCCTTAGAGCTGTACATGTTGAGTTCTAAAACAAAGGCAAATCATGTTATAATGATCACTTTACTTGGAGTATCCAAAAACAAAGGGCTGTCCAGTCCCTTAGAGCTGGAGATGTTGAGTTCTAAAACAAAGGCAAATCTGATTTTTTTAAACAAAAACTTATCATTTATTTGAAATTCTACATCAGTGTAAAAAGTGTACAAACATTGTGATCCTATTTGATGAAGTCACAAAAAGAGAACATTTACTGTACTTATCCTTTACATCATGAGTGCCCAAGTTCGATCATGGGGAGAGTTCCTATCCAGCCTGTTTTGGATGTCTCCCTCCTCCAATACACCTGATTCAAATGATCAGGATCGTTATCAAGCTTCTGTAAAGCTTGCTGATGAGCTGATCATTTGTTGGGGGAGGGAGACATCGAAAATAGGCTGGATAGGTGCTCTTGAGGACCTGACTTGAGAATTCATGCTTTACATAATGACCAGTATTCAAAATCACTTAGCCATATCTATCAGACTCTGCAGAGACGTGGGAACCCACGTCTTTTCTCCTTGCACAAATACCACCCCCCTGTCTATGTAGATGACAATGCGTCCAAATGTGTACAGCTGTTTGCCCTCATGCCGTTTGGCCACTATCGGCATAAACACAATGTTGTTCTCCTCTGCCTTGGTCTGGATGAGATCTTTAAAGTTTGTGGGTACACTCGCACTGGCACCCCTGTGAGCGACACTTTCAGCATCCCTGCGCTCTTGCATGGCTTCATAGTGGAAGTCCTTTCTTCTCTCCGTCTGAGTGAGATATGCAATGTTTTCTCTTGCACCTGGTTGCATGTATCCACCTGTGGGTACACATGAAGAACACATTATAGTAAGTTGTGTCACACCATATCTCCGATTCTTAACAATAATTAATGAAAGAAATGCTGAGATGGACTTGTACATATACATATTTGTCGAAACCCACCCATGCCTGAAGATACTGCACGGTTCATGATGTCCAGCGCTTCATTGAACTTTTCCTTTATGAGTGTCTGTGACAACAAGACATCACTGAACATGGTCTTCCAACCGAGGTACCATTTCGTGATTTCCTCGTAATTAGGACTGTTGCTCAACCATGAACACAGGACCTATCGTGAACAGAGACAAGAAAGTCAAATGTGAACTAATTAGTTATGTTGCTCTGTTGGGTCTACTGATACTTTGATAGTGAAAGTTCCTTACTTGGAGCCATTTTGGAAAGAAGTTTTTATCCAGGAGGGAAACCAGACTAGATGGGGATAGCATACCCTCCCAGTCTATCACCCAATGAAAGGGCTCCATTTGCTGCTGGTGAGGGTTAATAACCAGCTCCTCCAGACACAACGCTGTGGGGGCAAATAGTCACAATCACACCTCAACATCAAAAAACAATAGGGGCTTAAAAAGGCATGAATAAGAAGAGGAAGTAGATTACCTAGTTTAGGGATGATGTTTTTCACCATGAAGGCCTCCCAAGCTCCCGGGCTGAAAACATCTTTCCACGGTTGCAGAATGAGGCGTGCTGAGGCATCACTGGGGTGCCACCGCTGCAAAGCATTAGCTAGTTTGCTCCTGATGGGCGCGTACAGAGGCTCGAGACGTGATTGGAGCAGAGGTAGCCAAGGGTGAATCCATGAGTGAATTGGCACCGTGTCTGTTAAGGGGTTCCACGCATCCACCTGTTAATCACAAAATCGGCTTTTGAGGTGGTGCACACAACCAAAGAAATACATCAATTTTATTTGGACAGCACTTTTCATACATTACAAATGATCACAAAGTGCTGTACAGAAGAAAAAAAAAACCCAAAACACTGAAACCCACCCCTCTCACCAACCACAACATAAATTTGTCTTGCCTCTCGCTGTAGCCGAGGTAAAACAAGCTGCTCGAGCAGGTAATCTGAGATCCAAAGTGGAAGAAGAGGAGACCACAGATCAACACAGTCCACCATTGGCCCGACCATGCGAGGCTGCCACCCGGACACACAGGACCGCATCACTGGGATCCATACTTCCCACAGCAGCCTGGAACAACACACGCACATGGAATAAAAACAGGTTCTAACTTCAAACTAAAATCTATGAGGCTGTTCAATGTGTGTGTGTGTTTTTTTTTTTGGTTTGTTTTTTACCTGTGGTAAGGGTCCATGTTTGAATCGTGACCACTATTGACAAGGTTTCTAGATTCGAGAATTGCCCTCCACTTACCAACCTCTTCAAGGCAATGAGAAGAGTCCTGAAACAAACCAAAACCGTTGGGGCTAATCAAAGCTACCGGGCTAAATCATAGCGAGTGAAAGGATTAAACATACCTTCAATGGATTCCAGGAAAAAAGTTTGTCTTTGAGTAAGGGATGAACTACAGCTACGGCCAAGTCAGCCAAACCCATCGTCTTGTATTCTTCATAAAAGTCTGTCTGTAAAGTCTCAAAGATGTGGACGCACTCCTGAAGGGCAATTAAGAACAAAGTTTTATTAACAGAAAAATGAGGCAAAGCAAGGCAGCTTTAGTTACATAGCACATTTCATGTTAGGTAACACTGTGCTTCACATACAACAGTCAAAGGCAAAATACAACGTATAAAGGCAAAAAAATAAGACATTTAGAAGCAAAGTGAAGAAATGTTTACTAAAATTACCAAAATAATGTACAGTGCAAGAACATGATTTTTGAAAAAAGTGATTATAGAAATGCTCTAAAAGACCTCAATCACAGTTATGGGGGAAATCAATGTCTTTTTTAAGATGGATTAAAAAGCACTTACATGGGGGGACTAACTTCAGATCCATTGGCATTTTATCCATGAACATGCAGCATAACATCTAAATGCTGATGGGCTACACTAATTACCGCGAGTCTGCTGACCTCAGAGCCCTATTGGGTTTATATTCAATGAGCTTTTCTTCAGGACTGTAGCAGCACATTTTATTCAATGTCAGTGCTGCGTAGTTGCTCATAAAAATAAAAATCAACATACCTGCAAAGTGGGTCCCTCCCCCGGTGCTGTCTCTGCAGAAGGAAAACGGTCCACCAGAGCCAGCACCGCTTCCATTCTGTGGATGGCATCTTGCTCTTCTTCCAACCTGGTCTGCAGTGCCTGGGACTCATGGCTCAGCGACACAACCACATCTTTTTCATGCTGCAGGCGGCGGGCTGACTACACAGTTGGATGTGAGACCATAAAACTGTTATTGGTGTGTGATTGAATACAACACTGGTCGTGACTGATAAATAAATTGACCAATAGGTTTTGGTGTAAAGGCTTTCTGTAAGAAGTTCAGTTTGTACCTGTAATATGTCTTGTTCCGTAAGGTCAATCAAAAGTTGAAGGTTATGTTCAAGCTCAGGGAGTGCAAAGCCGGATCCCTTCTGATCCCGCGTGGACGTGCTTGGCGGACCGTCTTCTGGCATACTGTGCTTGTTGGACATCTGACTGTAACTGGAATATACCTTTTGCTCTCTTCCAGTCATATCAATTACCTACACATAGGAAGATATAGCCAATGAAGGAAACTATCAAGAGTGGTTCTCTACATAGCATCCTGTTGTTATGACATACTACATAACAGGTATAATCAGTTAACCTTGACTTGTGCCAGCTCTCCAGCAGATGCTCCTGTGCTGCGCCCAGTAAGTTTGCCTTTCGCCTTCAGTTCCTCCACAGTTTTGTACGAGTACTTGGGTTTCTTCTTTGCTCCAGTGGCTGCCGGATCTTTACGCCACTGACCTAGTTCCTTCTGAAACTCCTAAAGAGACAGATGATTTAGAATGTCATAATCACGTTGGGTTACCTTTAACTTGCACAACTATTAAGAGTGAAGATCTGAATGCCAAGACCATGAACATGTTACCTTTTCCTCCTCCTCATCCGAGTCAACCACAGGAAAATCTTGGAGACTCTGTTGGGTTCGTTCATTGCCATAAGCACCCACAGCTCCTTTTCCTTTCCGAACCTTCGCCTCAATAGGATTGACAATACCTGAGACATTAAAAAGGCAAATGGTCAGAAATTGTGTACATTGTCATCCCCACCCCAAAAATAAAAGTAAGTCATAATTCGGTGCACCTTGCGCATTCTTGCCCAAGCCTCTGCCTGGTTGATAGCCCATTTTCTGCAGCAGTTTTTGACCAATTCCTTTAGTGTGTTTCTCCCAGGAACCAATTCCTTGTCCGGTCTGTATACCTCCTGCAAACCTCTGAGACTGGTTTCCACGGAAATTACCCTAGGAGAAAAAAAAAAAGTTTTTCTGTTCTGTTCTGAATAAAATAAGAATACAAACAAATGCAATTTATTTACTAGCTCTCCGCAACCCACCCAACATGGGTCCATGATGCACTTTTGGGTCTCGACCCACCAGTTAAAAATCACCGTACTATACAACCCTTTAAGAATATTCACACCAATGAATAACAAACATTCCTTCAATCTGTAATTCACCTTTTGAAGCTTTCTAGGCGTTGTCACTCGAGCAGGTGGAGGTGCAGAAGAAGTGTCATCATCAGAAGTATCAGAACCTTCTTCTTCTTCTCTTTCCTGTTTCTCGTCAGCTGCAGTTTTTCTTAACCCCGCACTCACAAAATTCACCGGAGCAGTGTAGTCTTTAGATCTACAAAAATAAATACTTGGTTTAATTTGTTACTCTCTAAAAATATGTAGGGTTTTTTTGGCCCCCTTTGGATGATTATGGAGTGGCTCAAAATGGAAAGAAAACCATGACTTACTTCTTGCCTCCAAAACTGGGTCTCTCATCCTCATCAGAGTCCCTTTCTGCCCAGATGCCATAAGTCATTTGCTCCTTGGTCTGTCTGTGTCTGCGACGGTCTGGGTTGAACTCATTGGCCAAATCCCAATCTGTGATCTCAAAATTTTCAATCTCTACGCCATCCTCCTCTGCCCTCCTCCGTCCATACAGGTGTGACATTGACATTCTGGAAAGAATGATGATGAAAGAAGCACAGTCAGTAAAACGACAAATAGGATCAAGATTTACGAACGTTACAAATGCTTCGAAAGCATGGATCCATTAAATCCGTATTAAAAACGTCCGTTACGTTTTGCTGTATGAATTAGAAATGGTAAAAATCAAGAATCTCGTATCGATCTGAATTGTTTATTATTATTAACAGTAGGCGTCACGAGGATCCTGCACACAAATAAAACATTGTAAGGTGTAGAACGTGAAGAAAAATATTTACCACCTTCGTTTTTGACGTATCCGGCAATAAAATATAAAAAAATATATAATTATTGTCTTTTAATTCGTCAAATGCATTCCCTATCGCTCTAAAATCTAGATTGACATGATTAGCTAACGTTAACCATTTTCGCGACGTACTGCACTCGAGAACACTTCGAGTACTTCCGGGCGAAAAAGTACTTCCGCTGTTGCCCACAGTTTTTAAAAATAAAATGCAGTCCTAATTCATGAAAAAGGGACTAATTATAAGGTTTTGCTGTACACTAAGGTAATTTAAGAACAAGTCATGAAAAAATAATTTGCTGCCGATTCCGACATCACTCCGGAAGTAGAAGACTGGTGTCACATAAAAATATTCCCTTGCACGTTTGAAACTACTGAAGGAAAAATGCTTGGTCAAAAACAATAGTCATTTTTTCGTTGCATTTTTATATTCGAATAAATAATCTCGATGTCTGACATCGGCAGTGAATGGCAGGTGCAACGTCGACGAAAGGGCGCATCCAGAAATTTCAAGTCATTACAAATGTCGCCAGCATTGTGCAATGAGCCACTGGATGTTGGGAAAACTCTTAAAAGGATCAAAGAAATAGTGTAAGATTGCTTCATATAACCAAAAAGAATATACTTTGTTAAAATGATGTCAGACTTTTACGCAAAATCTGTCTCGTTTTCTGCAGGGCTGAAATGAGATGTGAAGGGTTTTGGAAAGAATGGAAAGGTGAGTCCCTTGAATAATAATAACAAAAAATGTTATTTCTCAACAATTGTTTTACTAAGAAGCCAAAACAACAGAATCGAGTCACCATTGTTGTCTCCAATGGTTTCCTCAATCTTCTCTCCAGGGCAGATGCTAACGGCATAAGAAGCCAAAACAACAGAATCGAGTCACCATTGTCTCCAATGGTATCTTCAATCTTCTCTCCAGAGCAGATGCTGGCGGCAGTATCATTGAACCAAAAAGACACGGAGTCCTCTTCAGGCCAACTGCATGAGAGTTTGGATGCCAAAATATGTTCACTTGAGTGTGTATGTTATGGCCTGGGCACCTTTTCCTCATGCGTGTCTGCTCGTTATCAGCTTGCTATAATGCTCCTTCTCCTGGATGCAGCAAAGGTCAAAATATATATTGATTTTGTGAGCCATGTAATGTCATGTCCAAATATACTAATGTAACTAAATGTGCCTCTCCCAGATTCCATTGAAACACTGTCTAGTTTTTGATCCTGCTTTCTCCTCTGGAGAAAAAGATGTACTCCGGGAGTTGGGTCTGACTGTACTCACAGAAAATGAGGTCACTATACTTAGGCACTGATAGTTGTGTAAATGTATTTTTATTATTGTGTATAATTAACTTTTTTTTTTCACCCTCTGAAATGCAGGAGGGGAAGCGATTGGCGACCAAACCCACGCTCTTTTATCTCATGCATTGTGGGAAAGCCCTGTACAACAACCTCCTGTGGAAGAACTGGAGTCCAAACTGTCTGCCACTTGTGGTAATAATTGGAAACAGCTTCAATGGCATGAGAGAGAGGTTTGTACAAGACCTGTTGGATTGGAAATCATTTAATGTGATATTTATTAGAATTTCTTTCCCCGTCTGGACAGGATGATCGAAAGAGAGTTCAAGCGGGACTACAGCTACATCAACCAGGCAGTGACTATATGTGAGGAGAGACAATTGACCTGTCCATCTCATCTGACTGACGTCTTTTGTGACACTGCACTCATAACCTTTAATTCTAGCAAAGTAAACACCCTCAATCAGTCTACCTGGACAGAGCCACCTGAACCACAATATCAGCACTGCTCTGATTTGGAAATAATACTAAGAGAATCTCAGAATGGAGAAAGCACATGAACTATGGGATTCACTTACACTGATCAACATTGTCCCAAAATGACAGGAAGATGATGTGGCTGCTGTTCACCGGAAGGACTTTACAGCCAACACCATGTCCAGCTGTCCACCTTATTGATTGGAATAAAAACCTCAACCTGTGTTCTGGACTTCATCCCAACCCCACAAAGGCCCACATTTGACAAAAATCACATTTTCCAATCTGGTTCTCCTCACAAGGGCCGTGGACGTGCTGGAGCCTATCCCAGCCGTCTTTGGGCAGTAGACAGCCGTCTTCGGGCAGTAGACATGGTACACCCTGAACTGATTGCTATCCAATCACAGGGCACACACAGACAAACAACCATTCGCGTTCACAATCACACCTAGGGACAATTTCGAGTTCCATTAACCTGCCATGCATGTTTTTGGAATGTGGGAGGAAACCGCAGTACCCGGAAAAAACCCACGCACCCACGCGGAGAACATGCAAACACCACATTGGAAGGCCGTAGAATCGAACCCTGCATCTCTGTACTGTGAGGTGGACGTGCTAACCACTCGACCACTGTGCCGCCCCCAACCCAATATGTTATTTAAAAACACTTGTCAGATGTAGAGCAATATTTACTTTTATGCATTAAAGCCATCACTGAGGTGAAGTGGGCAACAACTGTCTGGGACTGACTTCAGTACTTGTGACAGCACCTTGGCAAAAGAACTGGCTGAAAACCGGAGCACCTGGAGAAACCCATGCAGTTATGGGGAGAATATGCATACTTCACACAAAGGCCGATCGAGTTGAAGAAGGCTGTTATGCTAAATATGAGCAAAAAAAAAAACAAAAGACTTGAAAGTATTAGCAGTTGTTTCTTTTGAATCCATCTTGGCACACGTTGGCATTTCTGGAATTCTACAAATAGGTGTGGTTTAATCTGTATACCTGTTTTATTTGTTTGACAGGAGTTGGACACAGTGGGTGTTGGCACCTGTAATTTCAGTTAACGTTTGATCACATAAATCTTTGCTCTAAAATTTGGACTCGAGTATTTTTGTTTAAAAAAGAACTTAAAAGGGACTGGAAGTTGTTGATCTCTCAAACATATCACAGTCACTGTTTTGACACTCCATTTAGTTTTGAGGAAAGTGGTTATTTCATAAACGTGACAAATACAATCCAACAGGAATTTTAAAACATGTACATACTGTATATTAAAAAAAACAAAAACAAATGTATACTTAATTAAATCCACCCATCCATCCTATTTTCCAGCCAATAGCAGGATACACAGTGGACAAATTCCCAGTCACACTCTCATTCTCATATATGGACAATTTAGAATGATCAATTAATGTGTATGTTTTGGTGATGTTGGAGGAAGCTGACGTACTCAGAGAAAGCCTTTCAAGTATGGGATAACATGCAAATTCCACCAAGGAAAGCCTTGGCTGAGATTTGAATCCCAAAGTTCATAAGAGCAACTGTCCATCTTCAAACTGTTTACCTGAGCAATGGTTTTGGTAAAAAAATGTGAGTATTAAAAAGATTCAAATCAGTTGAATGGCGAAAAAGCACCATGGTAAAAAGTTTATTGTTAAAAGAAAAGTAGCACGGAGGCATACAGACACACCCCAGCATGCATACATGGTAAAGCTCATCATGTCTCAGTTTATCTTACAGTGGGCTGCTACACTAATTTCCTTGGTCTGATGTTTTCAAACTTGATCGGTTCCGTTAACAGATATGTTTTCCACACCATTGCTTCCTGATTCACCAGCTGCGGTCATGTTTGAGACAACATCTGCCCATGTCCCCTTACTCTTCGGGCTCCCAGTAACTTCGTCTGTCTTCGTCTCGTCTGGTTGGTCACACGGCATCTCGTCAGTGGCTTCGACCCCATTTGTTGCAGTTGAGTCACCATCAGCACAATCCTCCGTTTTGACTTCAGCATCCAAAACCACCCTTTGGCTGGGCTCTGCCTCGCCACCGTCCACTTCTGATTTCTCCTCTACCATGTGACCGTTAGCTGGACCGACGGTGTTGACTGAGGTTTCTTCCGCTCGCTGACTCTCGGTAATTTCCTCCGCAACCAGGCTTCCTCTGTTTAGAACTTTCTCGCCACTTCCTGTTTCTTGAGCATCTTGAGGCAGCTCCTTCTCTTGCCCGTTCATAACCTCAAAAAGCTCGTTAGCTGCTTTGCTTGCCAGCTCTTTTGCCACGGCTGCCTTCAGTTCCTTGTGTCTCTGCTTGTACTCCTGGAACTTGTCACTATAAAAACAGAAATTATTGAATTGATTTGAAGACAGCTCGCTATCACAGTACGAGATTTTATTGCGAATTCTTCAAGTAAGAAGAAATATTAATGCGCACGAGAGTATCAAAGTATATTAGCTCTTTCTTTTCCATTACAATACCCATCTACCTGACTGCAATCTTCCTGATCCCAGTGATGAGAACCATCTGCTCCAGAACAGTCTCACTTGTAGGAGTCAGGCACTAAAAAAAGCGGAAGGAAGAAAGAGGTGAATAAACCATTCCCTCAAATGTTATAAGAAGTCGGTTCTTACCTCCACTGTTTGTTCTGTGGCATTAGCTCCCGCCTGTCTGAGGGAGCGTTCTACCTGCACTGCCTGCTTTGTTATTGTGCACAGAAATTCTTTACTGCAGCGTGTCTGAGGGTGATCCTCATCAAACTGTGGAAGACAAAAGCAGTGCCATTAAATCCAATTAATTGTAATTGCGTTACCTAAGAGAATAATGCTCACCAAGGACGTAAAAGCAGTAAGGGCCTCCTTTTCATGATTCATAGCACCTCGGTAGTCTCCTTTACTGCACAGCCACTGGGACACCAGATGCTGACTGCACATGAAAGAGGAAAAGAAACGGTGAAGGCTTTGGACATGTGGCCAACCAATGGACTAGCGGATGGGTTATCCTACGTGAGGGCAGTGTGCAGATTTGTTGGGCCGAAGAAGGAAGTATTGAGTCTGAGGGCGTTTTTTAAGTATTTCCCTGCTTGGTCCCCTTTTAAGAGCAAGCCAAGACAACTCTGCAAGGACAATAATTTTAGAAATATTTAGAAGAGTGAGAGGTTCATGATAACTACAATGTTCTGAAATAACCTACGTCTAGCCTGGCAATGTATGGGTGGTCCTCTCCATGGATGGTTAGCAGAAGTAGACGTGCCCTGAGCAAGCACTTCTGGGCCAGGTTGGTCTCCCCTCCAGCACAGACGTATACAGCCAAGAGGGTCTATAGAAACGGAACCATTGAAATCAATAAATAAAATCATTGTCACCTTTTGTCTCTGTAAATATACACCAGGTGATTCACACTCAGTTTCACAGTGATCGTAAACCTGCCATTTGCTTGATTTTACAACAATCATAACGGATGAAAAAGAAACCTTTTCTTGCACTTACATATTGGTGGATGGTGAATGGGTGGTCAAACCCGAGCACCCTCTCACTGATGACCACTGCTCTCAATTGGACACTGCGCGCCTTTGGTACAAAGAAAGGTGTTTAGGAACAATTCTCCATACAAAGTTACAGATAAATCAGCAATACTAATTCAGGTACTCACACTGTTATACACACTAAATTATTATGTCACAAGTAATCAGTTCAGGTTATTAATTTATGGAAAAAACAATTACATTTGGTGATGATAAGGTGTCGTTAAATAGCATAATGATCCACAAGATCCCATCACAGGTTCTCTGTGCATTCAAAATTCCATCAGTAAAATGCACTCGCTATTTGTCTATAACATGCACTCCCCATACCATAACCCCCACGGCCACCGGAGCCACAATACCAACCCGCCAAACCACCCACAGGTGAAGATGTTGGGTGTGAAGGTCTTTTGGTTTGTTTGGTTACACATGGTCTGCGGTTATGAGGCCAGTTGGATGTACTGCTAAATTCTTTTAAACGCCTTTGGAGACTGGAGACTAGAAAAATGCGCTTTCGCTTCACGAGAAACAACTTCCGTGGATATTCAGGTCGTCGGCGTGCCAGGCACGCGGCCTCAAAACTTGTAACATATTAGATATTGTGCTGTGATAAAACTGCTTATTTAAGAATGGATTTTATTGTGGACAATGACAGAAGTTGCAACCTACCTCAGCAGTTTTGCCCTGCAGAAATGCTAACTTGGCCAGCAGGCTGTGGCAATAACATGCCTCAGGATGGAGATCGTCACACACTCTACCATACAAATATGCAGCATCTTTGAGTTGTTCATGGGCCGATTCCAACAAACCTGCCGATGGGGGAAAAAAAACATGAATTTTGAGGTTAAACGGTCAAGACTTTAAACAAACACCGAAGTACCATGCTTCAGACTGAAAGCCCCACCTTTCTCAAAGTAGGCCTGTGCAGCACGAAATGCCTTCGAAGCATCTGTAGTGGGCATCTGAATGTGTTTGACAACAGGGAAGATGTTGATAATGTCGTCTGGTCCAATGGGAGCTTTGCTATGGCTGTCAAACGAGTAGTCCCTCAATCTCAGCTGGTGGAAAAACAGAATAAATGAACAAACAGCTGAATAATGTGTTGGTCACGGTTATGGCAGGTTGTGTTTTGATGGTGCTTTTGGCAGTTTGTTAGCTGATTAACAAAAAAAAAATCGACATTTCTGATTTATATCCATCCTAACGTTATAAAATGGTGAGGGGCATCATGGGTCAAGGAAGAGCCCATTGCATTTTTGTGTAGATCTGAACTAAGGACCATAGCATGGCAATGCTGGCACTACTAAGACTGCAGATTGCTTTCATATCATTCTATGGTACCCTCAACCATCAGGAACAGACATTTGCACAGAAAGAGATTGCTATGGTTTATGACACATAATCAGCATTATCCATAGTGGCTCAATTAATACAAATACTTCTTTCACTTTAATTTTGAGAGTGATGAGTGCATCTCCCAGGATTCGCATGTCATCCTACTGGATTTTTTTTATTGCAGTGTCACATCTGACAACTACGATTGTGTTGATTTATCACTTACCGATCGAATAAATCTACAAACAGAGTATTTCTTACAATTGCGCTCTTTTTTTTTTCTTATACCTGCACTCCAGTCTTTAAACAGAACTCTCTTAGCAGGGAGATCTTCTGAAGCCTGAAGCGTTCAACCAGTTGGTTCAGACC